AAAATGTTTCTTACATATAATCTATCTGTTCTGTAGTTTCTTCAACAAAATCAGTACAAGCAGACAGAAAAATTTTGTCATTTACAAATATGAGACACCAGGAAACCCAAAAATCAGATGATGTCCCATGTTTGACAACTAAGGTACAGCAATTTTGAAATCACACTGTCTAATTACATATATATTTTTTTCTTTTCTCTTTTTTTGAGACAGGGTCTCAAGCTGTCGCCCTGAGTAGAGTGCCATGGTGTCATAGCTCACAGCAACCTCCAAATCTGGGCTCTTGCCTCAGATTTTCTATTTTTAGTAGAGACAGGATCTCGCTCTTGCTCAGGCTGGTCTCGAACTCGTGAGCTCAGACAATCCACCCACCTCAGCCTCTCAGAGTGCTAGGATTACAGGCATGAGCCACCAAGTCCAGCCTGTCTAATTAAATATATTTTAACAAAAATAAATTAGGCTACAGTCACTTGTTCTATACAAAAAGTATGTGAATTCATTAGAATAAAATAGAATTTAAAATTATCTAGATTCAAAAAAAATGTTTTTGTTGCTTTTCTAAATTATAGGGTAAAAAGGCAACTGGAAACATTGGTTATAAAGAAAAATCAACTGAAATAAATCATGAAAAATCTCTCCATATCAGTAAACTACTAAAGCAAGAGGATTCTAAGAGAAAATATGAAGGTAATTTTAACAACTTTAAAAAAAATTTTTTTTTTTTTGAGACAGGGTCTCACTTTGTCACCCAGCTACAGTGCAATGGTATCATCAGAGCTTACTGCAACCTCATGCTCCTGGGCTAAAGGGATCCTCCTGCCTCAGCCTCCTGAGGCATGCACACTACCACACAAGAGTAACATTTCTTTCTTTTTTTTTCTTTTGAGACAGAGTCTCACTTTGTTGCCCTCAGTAGAGTGCCATGGCTTCATAGCTCACAGCAACCTCAAATTCCTGGGTGTAAGCGATCCTCTTGCCTCAGCCTCCCAAGTAGCTGGGACTACAAGTGCCCTCCACAATACCTGGCTATTTTTTAGAGACAGGGTCTTGCTTTTGCTCAGGCTGGTCTCAAACTCCTCAGCT